TATATATATATATATATGTGTGTGTGTGTGTGTGGGTACGTGTGCGTCTTCTCTAAATTTAGTTTCTGGACCAATTGACTTATTACTCTATGATGTATAACTTTTCAAGGTTGACGGAGGATCCATAATCCATGTTAAAGTTAGATGGTCTCTAGTGTATCAAGATAACGAATTTTACATCAGTATACCTTTCACTTTCCCCTCATATGTTTTACTTCACAAAACCCATCTTCATTATGATTTTTTAGAAAAAGTGGAATATCACCACCCCCATCTGATGAAGATTTGAACAATATTCATTTACACAAACACTCTCTCTCTCTCTCTCTCTCTCTCTCTCTCTCTCTCTCTCTCTCTCTCTCACTCCTTGATTTATACACATACAGACGAGGATGAACGAGATGAAGATCTGGGAACCACATGAAGATGAAGATTTGAACTAGATTCAATACAAACACCGAAAAACATCAAATTATTTTTCCATATTCATTAAGATTTAACAGATAACACAAAAACCTTATATTTTTCATAGTTAATCTTGTGTTCGTCTCATAACTAATACACAAATGCTAGAAATCAGGTGAAAGAAATCGAATTCTTGCCTTCAAACACGAACAAACATATACACTCCAGATATCGATATCTTGCCTTCAAATCTCGCTTCCTCTTTGGATCTTGGTTGTGGAGACATATTTATATTAGGGTTAAAGATAGATCCGACAGCATCACTGTTTGAAACCCTAACGTTCGTCGGAATGGCAGCGGCGATTGATTGCTAGGGTTTTTGACTGGGGATCTAGAAACGAACAAATATGACTCAGTATAATCGTAAGTCGATGAAATCTATGCTAAGACCCACAAGAATGCATGTATTTTAAATCTAGAAACACACATGAAACATACAAAGGCAGATTCTTGTGGAACGTCATTTGTAGAAATCAGGAGAAAATGAAATGGTTTGAAACTGTTTCGTGAATAACTCAAGAAAGTTTCATAGGATAATAGAAATGAAAATTTACCCTTGTGCAAGCTTGAGGAACGATAAGAGTGGAGATGATATAGGTATAGAATCGATGTTGTAGAAATGAAGATATGTACCAGTCGTTGGTTACTGACACCGATAAGAGAGGGGGAGAGAGAGAGAAAGAGTATTTTCTTTTTCCTTTTTTTTTCTGTAATAAAAATTGAAAAAAGAAAATACAAAGGTCAAAATTATCATTTTAAAAAAAATTTAAAACAAATTGGATCAAACTCGCAACAAAATCAAAGTTTTGGACCATTGGTGCAAGTCCAAAACTTTTTGGACTAAGTGATAATTTTCAACATATCATAGGGACCATTTTTGTAGTTTTGTCAAAATAAAAAAGAAGAAATGTAGAAATGGTCTAATAGTTTGGTAAAAATAGACAATTGCAGAAATGACCCATAAGGTAAATTTGTCATTTAAAAAAAATAACAGTTAAGTTGTTAAAGTAAAAGATATATGGACCCAAACTACACATGATATCCAAAATTAGACCACTATTGCACCACCAAAAATATTTAGACCAAAACCATATATTTTTAACAACCACAATGACCATTTTTATAATTTCTTAAATAATTTTTATTGATATATAAATATTATATATTAAAAATAATATTTACTAATACATAATAATCCAATATATAGAAGTGATCGATTAAAACGAAATTAGAATAATAATTAATTAAAAAATGACAAAATTGCAAAAAGGGTTTAAATGGTTGTTAAAAATATATTGTGTTGGTAAATAAATAAATAAAACCGTTCGATGGTGCATTAATGGTCCAATTTTGGATACTTTGTATAGTTTTGATCCATATCTCATTAACTTTAATAACTTGGTTGTTACTTTTTTAAAAATATATTTTTACCCTTATCAAACCATAAGGACTATAAATATTAAAATTGAAAAAAAGAGTAAAATGAAAATTTGGT